CACTCCATGTTGACGATCACTTAACAGCTTCGAAAAGAGAGGTCGACTAAACCCATATGAAACGCTTTGAATTGTGTTTTGTAAATTAGTCGTTAGAGCTGACGCTTAAAGGAAGTTGGGAGCGGATAGTGGGTCTTACGATTTTATTATACCTGAGGCAAAATCACACAGTTCAGCATATTTTTTTTTTATAAGGCACTGCAAAAAAATTATAGTGATAAAATTATTGCTACAAACATGTATTAGGTATATGTATTTTATATATAAAATAAAGATTACTTATAATTCGATTATAAATTATAGATTTAAATTATAAAGAAATTAAAAAACTGTAATTTATATTAATTTTTAAGTAGTTATAAATATGCATATTTCGAACTTCAGAGCTAATTTTTTTATAGACGATAACTGATTTTACAATTTGTTTTACAAAGCAATGATTTTTTCCTTACTTGACTATCACTTAAAAATTGTTGTTAACTGAATAATAAAATAAATAAGTAGTTCAATAGCTCAATCACTCGTTACAAGAAATTTCAACAAATTTTCATGCAATTCCCTTGTTTTTATTGCTGTAATTGTTTATATAATTAAGTAATTTAAAAAATAATATTCATTTTCATTAAATAAGCTGTAATATTGTATACGAATTTTCCATTTAAGCAATTTCAAACAAAAGCTGGCGAAAATTATGTACAGGACTTCAACATATTATGTTTTCAAGATTTAATTTGTTTTAAAATTTCGAAAAGTTCATTTGTAATTAATCGCTTCAATTTTTTTTGTATGCCAATAGTTTCATGGTGTTATAGTTTGATTCTTAACAGAAAAAAATTAAAAAAACAAGTTGTTATTAATAAAAAAAAAGATTAACATAATCTTGACAACTTTCGAGTGTAGGTCTGAAAAAAATTACCAACAAATTTGTATGCCGATGCATTTTTTATAAAAAATATATATTTTGCAAGCCCCAAAAAAAAATCAGTTTGTTATTAATAAATTTTTTCAACTCACCAATCTGACATGTTAGAGCTGGGGGTCACTCGAAAGGTACCATTCACTTTGTATGCCACAAGTTTTTCATCGTATTTTCTCGAAGTATTGATTTTTATGGCGCGTCTCCACCAAAGTTTTGTTGTCAACACAACATTTGTCAACACGTGTTGCCGACAAATGTTTCTGTGAAACATTTTCGGAAACAAATGTCGTCAACTTTTGTAGATTTGCAACAGTTGGAAACATAAATGTTGTCAACATTTTTGGTGGAGACGCGCCTTTAGAAACTGTTATTATTTAATTTGGGAAACTCATCAAATCGACATGTTTCGCTCCCTATCGCGCTTTTTCCTCCCACTATCAGAATTTGGTCCAATGATAAAATTTGGGTGTCTCGTCAAAGCGAAGCTGTGTATAAACTTTCAGCCTGTTATTAATCACTGAAATCCCTTGCATGTGGGCCCGTGGACTAATAATTTTTCTCCTTTAATCGCGTAATCTACATATCTTATTATCTATCTTGAGTAGCTGGGTCATGGTGCTGCGCGGTGTGTGTGTGTGTGTGTGTGTGTGTGTGTGTGTGTGTGTGTGTGTGTTTCATGTATATACGTGTGCGTGTATGTATGTGTGCGTACCTTGCGTGCGGCGCGCGGCAGCCTGTGCCTTGAGCAGCTTGCTCATGGTGTTGCGCGGTGTGTGTATGTGTGCGTTTATATGTGTTTCATGTATATATGTGTGCGTGTATGTGTGTGTGCGTACCTTGCGTGCGGCGCGCAGCAGCCTGTGCCTTGAGCAGCTTGCTCATGGTGTTGCGCGGTGTGTGTATGTGTGCGTTTATATGTGTTTCATGTATATATGTGTACGTGTATGTGTGTGTGCGTACCTTGCGTGCGGCGCGCGGCAGCCTGTGCCTTGAGCAGCTTGCTCATGGTGTTGCGCGGTGTGTGTATGTGTGCGTTTATATGTGTTTCATGTATATATGTGTGCGTGTATGTGTGTGTGCGTACCTTGCGTGCGGCGCGCAGCAGCCTGTGCCTTGAGCAGCTTGCTCATGGTGTTGCGCGGTGTGTGTGCGTACCTTGCGTGCGGCGCGCAGCAGCCTGTGCCTTGAGCAGCTTGCTCATGGTGTTGCGCGGTGTGTGTATGTGTGCGTTTATATGTGTTTCATGTATATATGTGTGCGTGTATGTGTGTGTGCGTACCTTGCGTGCGGCGCGCGGCAGCCTGTGCCTTGAGCAGCTTGCTCATGGTGTTGCGCGGTGTGTGTATGTGTGCGTTTATATGTGTTTCATGTATATATGTGTGCGTGTATGTGTGTGTGCGTACCTTGCGTGCGGCGCGCAGCAGCCTGTGCCTTGAGCAGCTTGCTCATGGTGTTGCGCGGTGTGTGTATGTGTGCGTTTATATGTGTTTCATGTATATGTGTGCGTGTATGTGTGTGTGCGTACCTTGCGTGCGGCGCGCAGCAGCCTGTGCCTTGAGCAGCTTGCTCATGGTGTTGCGCGGTGTGTGTGCGTACCTTGCGTGCGGCGCGCAGCAGCCTGTGCCTTGAGCAGCTTGCTCATGGTGTTGCGCGGTGTGTGTATGTGTGCGTTTATATGTGTTTCATGTATATGTGTGCGTGTATGTGTGTGTGCGTACCTTGCGTGCGGCGCGCAGCAGCCTGTGCCTTGAGCAGCTTGCTCATGGTGTTGCGCGGTGTGTGTGCGTACCTTGCGTGCGGCGCGCAGCAGCCTGTGCCTTGAGCAGCTTGCTCATGGTGTTGCGCGGTGTGTGTATGTGTGCGTTTATATGTGTTTCATGTATATATGTGTGCGTGTATGTGTGTGTGCGTACCTTGCGTGCGGCGCGCGGCAGCCTGTGCCTTGAGCAGCTTGCTCATGGTGTTGCGCGGTGTGTGTATGTGTGCGTTTATATGTGTTTCATGTATATATGTGTGCGTGTATGTGTGTGTGCGTACCTTGCGTGCGGCGCGCAGCAGCCTGTGCCTTGAGCAGCTTGCTCATGGTGTTGCGCGGTGTGTGTATGTGTGCGTTTATATGTGTTTCATGTATATATGTGTGCGTGTATGTGTGTGTGCGTACCTTGCGTGCGGCGCGCGGCAGCCTGTGCCTTGAGCAGCTTGCTCATGGTGTTGCGCGGTGTGTGTATGTGTGCGTTTATATGTGTTTCATGTATATATGTGTGCGTGTATGTGTGTGTGCGTACCTTGCGTGCGGCGCGCAGCAGCCTGTGCCTTGAGCAGCTTGCTCATGGTGTTGCGCGGTGTGTGTGCGTACCTTGCGTGCGGCGCGCAGCAGCCTGTGCCTTGAGCAGCTTGCTCATGGTGTTGCGCGGTGTGTGTATGTGTGCGTTTATATGTGTTTCATGTATATGTGTGCGTGTATGTGTGTGTGCGTACCTTGCGTGCGGCGCGCAGCAGCCTGTGCCTTGAGCAGCTTGCTCATGGTGTTGCGCGGTGTGTGTGCGTACCTTGCGTGCGGCGCGCAGCAGCCTGTGCCTTGAGCAGCTTGCTCATGGTGTTGCGCGGTGTGTGTATGTGTGCGTTTATATGTGTTTCATGTATATGTGTGCGTGTATGTGTGTGTGCGTACCTTGCGTGCGGCGCGCAGCAGCCTGTGCCTTGAGCAGCTTGCTCATGGTGTTGCGCGGTGTGTGTGCGTACCTTGCGTGCGGCGCGCAGCAGCCTGTGCCTTGAGCAGCTTGCTCATGGTGTTGCGCGGTGTGTGTATGTGTGCGTTTATATGTGTTTCATGTATATGTGTGCGTGTATGTGTGTGTGCGTACCTTGCGTGCGGCGCGCAGCAGCCTGTGCCTTGAGCAGCTTGCTCATGGTGTTGCGCGGTGTGTGTGCGTACCTTGCGTGCGGCGCGCAGCAGCCTGTGCCTTGAGCAGCTTGCTCATGGTGTTGCGCGGTGTGTGTATGTGTGCGTTTATATGTGTTTCATGTATATATGTGTGCGTGTATGTGTGTGTGCGTACCTTGCGTGCGGCGCGCGGCAGCCTGTGCCTTGAGCAGCTTGCTCATGGTGTTGCGCGGTGTGTGTATGTGTGCGTTTATATGTGTTTCATGTATATATGTGTGCGTGTATGTGTGTGTGCGTACCTTGCGTGCGGCGCGCAGCAGCCTGTGCCTTGAGCAGCTTGCTCATGGTGTTGCGCGGTGTGTGTGCGTACCTTGCGTGCGGCGCGCAGCAGCCTGTGCCTTGAGCAGCTTGCTCATGGTGTTGCGCGGTGTGTGTATGTGTGCGTTTATATGTGTTTCATGTATATATGTGTGCGTGTATGTGTGTGTGCGTACCTTGCGTGCGGCGCGCGGCAGCCTGTGCCTTGAGCAGCTTGCTCATGGTGTTGCGCGGTGTGTGTATGTGTGCGTTTATATGTGTTTCATGTATATATGTGTGCGTGTATGTGTGTGTGCGTACCTTGCGTGCGGCGCGCAGCAGCCTGTGCCTTGAGCAGCTTGCTCATGGTGTTGCGCGGTGTGTGTGCGTACCTTGCGTGCGGCGCGCAGCAGCCTGTGCCTTGAGCAGCTTGCTCATGGTGTTGCGCGGTGTGTGTATGTGTGCGTTTATATGTGTTTCATGTATATGTGTGCGTGTATGTGTGTGTGCGTACCTTGCGTGCGGCGCGCAGCAGCCTGTGCCTTGAGCAGCTTGCTCATGGTGTTGCGCGGTGTGTGTGCGTACCTTGCGTGCGGCGCGCAGCAGCCTGTGCCTTGAGCAGCTTGCTCATGGTGTTGCGCGGTGTGTGTATGTGTGCGTTTATATGTGTTTCATGTATATGTGTGCGTGTATGTGTGTGTGCGTACCTTGCGTGCGGCGCGCAGCAGCCTGTGCCTTGAGCAGCTTGCTCATGGTGTTGCGCGGTGTGTGTGCGTACCTTGCGTGCGGCGCGCAGCAGCCTGTGCCTTGAGCAGCTTGCTCATGGTGTTGCGCGGTGTGTGTATGTGTGCGTTTATATGTGTTTCATGTATATGTGTGCGTGTATGTGTGTGTGCGTACCTTGCGTGCGGCGCGCAGCAGCCTGTGCCTTGAGCAGCTTGCTCATGGTGTTGCGCGGTGTGGGCGGCGGCCGCTCCAACGTGCGTCCATGCACCGTCGTACAGTGCCGCTCCAACATGTACCTGCGACCACCCCACCCACATTGTTACATACCGCTCTCGTCCTCATTCGCCCACCCCTCCCGGATTACCCACTTAGCGTACCCGTGACCGATGTGTCACTCGTGGTAACATACACACAGTCAGAGACACAAAAGTAATTAAAATAGCAACCATACGCAAACCAATAATTTGTGTATATTACAATACTTCGGCTGTGATCAAAGCCAGAACGCATTAACCTAACCCTTAAAATACTTATTTGAAGGCGCAAGATAAGAAACATTAACTAACGACTTTACTGTTTCCTGAAAGTTATTAAAAATAAGAAAAATACGACAAAGAAAAATAATTAACTGTGTAATAACCCTCTACAAGATGCAGGAGTGTGCTACCTTCATTGTGAATGTAGCCTCTCTTTAATAGGAAAAAAAAAGTATCTATTAAAACTACATGTAGCAGGCGTGAAACATAAACGCTCCAGTCAATGTGAAACATATTCGCTGCAGTCTGTGATTATGTCCTACAAGGATACCATTAAATCAGACTTGATAGACCATAATTATATGTAGAGGAGCAGATCGTCCGCGATCGATGGTTCAGCCAAGAAAATCGACATAATATTTAAAAAAAAAGTTTGAGGAATCCGCCGACTTGTGGTCCGCCAAAAGTGTTCCTCTATAAACCGGATTTTTTTTATTATGATGCATAGTTAGCATCTTAGTTTTGACCAAGGTATTTTTTTTATATTTTGCTTTGGTTCGATAAATCTTTGTATGTTTATGTATAGCAGTGTCAGCTTAGTACTCGTAATTTATCTCTATGCGCGCATAACCTCACTCGCCTCGCCATCCTGTCGACACTGTCAACTTATAAAAAAAGTCACGCTGCGCGCTCTTATTAAATCTTATTTATTATTTTTATATCGCACTAATACGTGAAGAAAAAAACATTAATATTGAAAAACATTAATATGGAAACACTAACGAAAAAACTGACGCCTTAATTATTTTAAAGTACTCTACGTTGCGTTGTTTAAAAATAACCTTCCACTCACCAGATGTCGCTAGTTGTGAATGAGGTGAAGTTTTTTTTTGTCATACAATGTCACTTAATTTAAACATTAGTTTTAAATAAATGTAAAGTGGCGTCTTGGTGGCAGAAAACGTCGTGGATGCTTTCATACCCTCAGAGAATTATCATAAAAATAGGACAGGAAGAAAAAGCTCTTTGTTACGGCTCACAGCTGCCCATGCAGAGGTAAAATCTCCCGGGGCCCATGAGCGGAAGATTCAACGGGCAGCCGCGGGTTCGAACCCGAATGGCTATATGGAAAATGTTCTATCCTACTACACTTTAATGGGGAGGCTAGTCAAATAAAGAGTACTTACCTATATCTGAGGCGACGACTGTCTCAGGGTTCGTTCAGGACGGAGGTGGGTATGTGCATGCGTGGTGGTGTTTTTTGTGATGTGGATGTAATTGACTTGACTGGACCGTTGAAGTCGGCAGCTGCCCGGACTCCGGCACCGCTTCAAATTAAGGTAATCTCCAGCGGCGTCAACCACGGTCAATTTCTTTCTTCTTCACTATGTCAGTCTATTAACTTTATTGTACATTTAACTAACTTCAAAACGGAACTAAATCCCGTTACTTATAGTCAAAAACGTAACACACAGCACGAATACCGAATGTTCGGATCAAAGGTCACTTCCGTTTCGCGTGGCAACAATTAATTCTAGAACCAAACACGACCTTCTCTAGTGTCACAAAGTTCAGCGTTCAACCGACAACCGAAAATGTCTCCGAACTATTATATTGAATGCCGCACGAGCAAATTAATATTGTCAAATGCACTTATATACGCTATCAAATTAGAATAACCAAATTCGCGGTAAAATAGGCGCGCACGACACACAAATTCAGACGTTGATCGCAATCAATGTTAACTTCCTAACAATTTGTCTACCCGGCGTCTAATTCTAGACTACAATTCCTCGTCGTTGCACAATTTGCTAACAAAACCGACTCTAAAAAATGGAGGTTATCCCGAGCGACTTCACGACGTGCTCTCGACAGCACTGCTTTCAAGCAACTAACGTTCTGCGCTCGCGCCCTCTACCAAAGCCACTCTGCTCGCCCGAACGTCAAAACCGGTATGGCACCGAGCCGAGCGCCCTCCAGCGTCAAATCTTGAAACTCGCGTTTGGGCGTGAACACCCTTACATAAAAATATTTTTTATTAATTATTCTCTTATAACCATAGATAATATCTGGAAACTTCTAACTACAGGATCGGGAATTTTACTTGCCCTGATATTGTCGGATGATGCCTGGCCCATCCAGTCACACAAGAGTCGGGGTTCGCCACACAATATGCAATTCTTACGTTATAAGCTGTTACGTTACCAATACAGTCTATTAAAATCTACTGTTGACCATATATTAGAGATATTTCTTACCCCAAAAGTTACGGATTTTTGATAACAAAAAGTAGGCGTATCTAACAACGTGCCAATTTCATGGGGCTATGATCGGGACGTACGTACGTACGAACGCTTTGGCCGTCCTTTGTCTATAACTTTTTTTAGTGGTCATATTTGGTGAGTTATAAATAGATTTCTTTTTTCAATTCAGATTATAAATAATGCTTTTTGAAAGTCATTCTTATGTTTGATTTACCACTGGTTCGGAAAATACCTTTGTCCTGGTAAGAACCAGCAAATAACCCAGCGGGATATTTTTTTGAAAATAGAACAGTTTACAATCATATATTATCTTACATAATTACAATACAAAAAAAAATCTTAATAACGATCACCACCTTCCCAGGGGTTATTATTATCCAAAAAATCCTTAATAATATAATAAGCCTTTATTAATAGAATCTTTGTTTAATATAGTTTTTGAACTTGGTGGTGGACTAAATTTGTATCATAATCATTACAGCGTTTCACACGTTCACTGCGGAATATAGTCATGATTGCCCCAAAGCACGGTCACGAGCCACCTGCATCTCTTACCAGGTCGTCATTCTATCTAGTGGGGGACCATTCTACACTCGTCGGTACGAGGCTACCACTAGAGAATCTTTCTTCCCCATCGGTTGTCGATTCGTCGAGGTATATGGTCTAGCTGGTATTAGCTTAGCTGCGAATATCCTCAATTCTATGTCTATAACGCAGACAACAAAAATGTAAAATCTATGGAAGAATGTAATAATTTGCATATCTACATCAGCCAAGTTTCAACAACATCAGCAAAGTCCTGTCGGATTTTAAGTAATCTTATGTTCGCGCCAAACGCTGGTTTCGGAATCGACGTTAGAGGGCGCGCGGCTCGGTGCCATACCGGTTTTGACCTCGGTCGAGCGGTGGGTGTTGAGAACGCGTAAAGGCGAAAGCAGTCGCCTGCCAGCTGTGCTAACGCCAGAACGCTGTCAATTTTTGTTCGGGAACTCGGAATAATTAGGCGCGGCCAGTAAATATACGCTCTAGTATTTGTGACGCGCATTCCTTGCTGGAGAGCTTCCCAGGGACTCATTGTGTCTGACTCAGAATCTGCATAAGTGTATTCGACAATATTAGCTAGTGCGGCCTTTGATATTCGAGAAATAACTGTTGCTACGCGAAACGGTAGTGACCTTTGATCCGGACACTCCGTGTTCGTTGCTTCTGTAAGTTAGTTCTGTAAGAGTTAATGGACTGTCATCGTGACGAACGAGGAAAGTGACTGTGTACAACGCCGCGGAAGATTACCTTATTTTGGAGCAGCCTGGAACTCGGCCGCTGCTGGTCGCCTATGCTTGCCAAGACCCCACACATTCACACCTCACACTACTCGCCATCCACTATTACACACACTCACGGCCTGCCCAAGCCTTGGTGCGAAGTTAGCTCCGGATAATGGTAAGTACTATGTGTTTCTAGCTTTCTCCCATATTGTTTATTGTAATTAGGAAATTCCACGTGGCCATATTCTGGCCCCTTCCCTCTGCTGCTCGTCGATGGGATTAGTCATGGGCCCTAATCCCGTCATCCTTGGTTGGGGCAGCTAGGGGCGTGTACATCTTAAATGATAAGTTTAATGAAATCGAAAATATAATTTTTTATAAAATATTTTTTGTATTCTTTCTGAACTGTCAGAATAAATGCTGTAAAAAAGGAGACCCAATCTGTTATGACGCCCTTAGATTTTTTAATTCATAAGAACCTTTTAAAATAAAACCTAAAAGTTGACTAGATTTTCATTGTGTTCATAACGATGCCTGAGGGAGAAATCGATTACGAAAATTATAAAAAAGGGCCTAAATGGAACCTCTGGAGCACTCCATAAGGGATTTTGAGAATGCGAAAAGTGGAGATCTATATCCTTTAAGTGTCACAAACTTACTACGATTCGAAAGAGAAAATTCAATCCACTGTAAACCGTAATGTTACAGAATAAGACGGGACAAATTGTGAGTACCCTTAACCCAAGGAGCGTGTATACATAGAGTAGATATATGGACGTCAAAGTCTTTGAGTATGTCAGATGTAGCAGCTAAGGAGAAACATAAGCTATATGTATTTATGTTTGACTGATTCATTGGTGTAATGGCCGTAATTGCGACTGTTAATATTGTTGCGGTTCTGGGTCCGAATCTTTTTTAGATATTAGATGGAAAGTTTTTCTGTAAACAGATTCTCAATAGCAGCTGAGAGTAAAGTTTTACCCCCGTGCCTCGGAAAACACGTTAACTTGTCGCCTCTGCGTCTGATCTCTCTCCGGTCGTGCCGGATTGGCGTCCCATCGAACAATTAAGAGTGATCCATTTGGTTTCTTTAGTCCTGTCTCACATAGATGTTTAGTCTGCGTTGAGAGTGGCTGGTTGGACAGTATTAGGCTATGTATAAGCGGGACGGTGTGGTGTGGTGTGTGTGTGGTACGCACCTGCGGTCGAAGCGGTCGAAGCAGTAGGTGCAGCGGAAGTGCATGCGGCGCACGGGGGCGGCGCCCGCCCCGCCCGCCCCCGCCGCCCCGCCCGCCGCGCCCGCCGCCTCGTGCGACTTGCTGTGCGCCAGCAGGTTGTACCTGCGCGCAACACAGCGCTTTAACCCTCCCCTCACATTAAGTTCACATAAAAAACCCACTTCAAATAACTAAAAAATAATGTAATACATTCACATTCTGAAGTCGGCTCTAAGATTTACTATATAGAAGAAAAAGTGCCGACTTCAGAATATCAAATTATTTTTAGTTTTTATTTTACCCTTTTGAGTGAACTGAAAATATTGCAATATTAATGACATATAAATATGTAGTAAAATTAAAAACATTACCCCTCTTTTGTTACCTATTAAGATGGAATTTTTTACCAAATTTGTATAGGACCATCCTTGAAATATAAACTACTTATTTTAAAAGATCATCATAATATTTCATTACACTATTTTATTACAACAATTTGCTTTTTATTGTCTTAGTAACGTTTTCATTCAACAATCATTATTTTTGTGCAGTTAATTTAATTCAAACATTGTAAAATTGGAAAGTTTATGTAAAACAAAGTTAGTAAATAATAATAACAAAGGTCCTAGATATGAACCTTGGGGTACAATACTAATCGATATACAAGTACTGTAGGTGACTCACCGCTCGGAGAAGCGTTTGCCGCAGACGGTGCACTCGTGGCGCTTCTCGCCGCTGTGGATGCGCTTGTGGCGCTTGAGGTGCGAGCGCGTCATGAGGGTAGTGGTGATGTAGGTGACTCACCGCTCGGAGAAGCGTTTGCCGCAGACGGTGCACTCGTGGCGCTTCTCTCCGCTGTGGATGCGCTTGTGGCGCTTGAGGTGCGAGCGCGTCATGAGGGTAGTGGTGATGTAGGTGACTCACCGCTCGGAGAAGCGTTTGCCGCAGACGGTGCACTCGTGGCGCTTCTCGCCGCTGTGGATGCGCTTGTGGCGCTTGAGGTGCGAGCGCGTCATGAGGGTAGTGGTGATGTAGGTGACTCACCGCTCGGAGAAGCGTTTGCCGCAGACGGTGCACTCGTGGCGCTTCTCTCCGCTGTGGATGCGCTTGTGGCGCTTGAGGTGCGAGCGCGTCATGAGGGTAGTGGTGATGTAGGTGACTCACCGCTCGGAGAAGCGTTTGCCGCAGACGGTGCACTCGTGGCGCTTCTCGCCGCTGTGGATGCGCTTGTGGCGCTTGAGGTGCGAGCGCGTCATGAGGGTAGTGGTGATGTAGGTGACTCACCGCTCGGAGAAGCGTTTGCCGCAGACGGTGCACTCGTGGCGCTTCTCGCCGCTGTGGATGCGCTTGTGGCGCTTGAGGTGCGAGCGCGTCATGAGGGTAGTGATGATGTAGGTGACTCACCGCTCGGAGAAGCGTTTGCCGCAGACGGTGCACTCGTGGCGCTTCTCTCCGCTGTGGATGCGCTTGTGGCGCTTGAGGTGCGAGCGCGTCATGAGGGTAGTGGTGATGTAGGTGACTCACCGCTCGGAGAAGCGTTTGCCGCAGACGGTGCACTCGTGGCGCTTCTCTCCGCTGTGGATGCGCTTGTGGCGCTTGAGGTGCGAGCGCGTCATGAGGGTAGTGGTGATGTAGGTGACTCACCGCTCGGAGAAGCGTTTGCCGCAGACGGTGCACTCGTGGCGCTTCTCTCCGCTGTGGATGCGCTTGTGGCGCTTGAGGTGCGAGCGCGTCATGAGGGTAGTGGTGATGTAGGTGACTCACCGCTCGGAGAAGCGTTTGCCGCAGACGGTGCACTCGTGGCGCTTCTCTCCGCTGTGGATGCGCTTGTGGCGCTTGAGGTGCGAGCGCGTCATGAGGGTAGTGGTGATGTAGGTGACTCACCGCTCGGAGAAGCGTTTGCCGCAGACGGTGCACTCGTGGCGCTTCTCTCCGCTGTGGATGCGCTTGTGGCGCTTGAGGTGCGAGCGCGTCATGAGGGTAGTGGTGATGTAGGTGACTCACCGCTCGGAGAAGCGTTTGCCGCAGACGGTGCACTCGTCGCGCTTCTCGCCGCTGTGGATGCGCTTGTGGCGCTTGAGGTGCGAGCGCGTCATGAGGGTAGTGGTGATGTAGGTGACTCACCGCTCGGAGAAGCGTTTGCCGCAGACGGTGCACTCGTGGCGCTTCTCTCCGCTGTGGATGCGCTTGTGGCGCTTGAGGTGCGAGCGCGTCATGAGGGTAGTGGTGATGTAGGTGACTCACCGCTCGGAGAAGCGTTTGCCGCAGACGGTGCACTCGTGGCGCTTCTCGCCGCTGTGGATGCGCTTGTGGCGCTTGAGGTGCGAGCGCGTCATGAGGGTAGTGGTGATGTAGGTGACTCACCGCTCGGAGAAGCGTTTGCCGCAGACGGTGCACTCGTGGCGCTTCTCGCCGCTGTGGATGCGCTTGTGGCGCTTGAGGTGCGAGCGCGTCATGAGCGCCAGCCCGCACACGTCGCACGCGTGCGACTTCACGCCCGTGTGCGACAGTTTGTGCATCTTGAACGACGACGTGTGGATGAACGACTTGCCGCACAGGTCGCACTGGAACCGCCCCGACCACGTCAACTACTTGCTCCGATCCTAACATACACCTTATACAACTAACATATACCCTTTTAATATACAGGCATTCCATCTAAGACCTTATTTTATAACGAGGCATTCCATGTAAGACCTCAGGGGCAATAACGCATTTGCATTTTAACCTCTCTGATCGATAAAAAATGTAGGTGGCTATTAACCATAGCATTCATATGTTTAACATTAATAAATTTGACTGTAACTCCAATCGAAACAGATAAACTCACTCTATGTACATACATAATTGTGTATTCTACATAATTGACATTTATAAACACACAAGCACACCTATAAATAACTTTTTATAGTAATAGAAGCAAACGAGAAACTCATGCAAGATGCGACCGCCGCCCACGAACAACACTTTTAAAAAGGAGTAAGCTCGTTTCTTGAGGGTCCCTAAGGTGTATCCATCCAGAAACATCGCCGGTGGTACACAATTCCACAAAAAAGTCGTGTGAAAAAGATAACTTCTAGAAAATCGCACAGTGGTGAACCGCCCAGCATCCAGATGGTGTAGATGGCATCTGATGAGAATGTTGTCGCGATATGCGTTGGTGGAATTTGGCGGCTGGAATTAATCCGAACAATTGCTCTGAGCACTCCCCGTGGTAAATGCGATAAAAATGCAAAGGAATGCAACATCTCATCACAGCGCCAGTGAATCAAGCCCATCAGTTCGGTTCATCAAGTTCGGATTAATTTGACCTACGTTGTTGCCAACAGATGGCGTTGGGCGTTATTTGTGTCGCGATGTTGTTTGATACACACTGTTTCCTTAAGGGCCGTGGGGTTGTTGAAATCGGGAGTTCCTTAGCGTGATCCTGTGTGGGATTCACATCAGAAATTAAACATGGTCCTTCGAGCGGGAATAATGTGATCAAAGGAATCAGTCGTTTTTGGGCCCACTAGAAATTTTCGCGGACTGCAATGGTATTATATACAAAATATACCAATTTATTATTGTAAATTTTTTGCATAAATATTTTATGAAAAGCTACACGGAATCAAGAAATCTGAAAAAAAGAGTTTTTGATATTTATGTTTATGTCATTGGTGCAGATAAAGTAATATTAAAAACAATTGTAGTAGAGATGTGTCAACTCAGAAGAAACTCGACTCGAGTTAACTTGTGTTGAAATTCACGTAATCGATTAGTACTCGAGTTACGCAACTCGAATTGGCGGAACAGAGCTGTCAGTTTGTTAGAAATTATTTTTATATTTGTTCCTCCATCCAAGATAATAATTATTATTTCTTAACTTCATAGCTAATTATATATTATTGGTTTGCGTATAGACAATCTTCATAAAATAATATCACTAACTTTATGACGTAGCGTAAAGTTACTGTTATTAATAATTTAAGTATCACGCATTTTTAAATAGGTACCTTTATTAAATAAGTAATATGTGGCAATATGAAATAAAATACAAATATTTATTATTTATTTATTTGTAGTATTTCCATGTTTTTTTATTTACTGCAGATATGTGGAGTATTTCAAAATCTATAAACTGCTTTTTACATATCTTACAAATCGCTTCCATTTTTTAAAATAATGCCACACTGAAGTTATTTATTTTGTTGTTTCATTGTTATCATTCATACTTTAAACAAACAAGTACATTTAAATCACCTTTTATGTTATGCACTACTTATACGAATTAACAAAAAATAAACAACAATGGTATCACAATCACGATATTACAAATCAAACTAAGTTCATATTTGACTACAACATGACAGATGCAAGTTTGCATTTGGATGTAACCAGTAACGTCAATCGCGGCGCCTTAGGCCGGCCACATACATACGGAATTCCGTTTCGGGATTCCGTTTCGATATTCCGATTCGGGATTCCGAACGCAGCAAGTCCATATAAAATCTATGACCCGCCACACACGTACGTTATTTTTCCGTACGGAATTTCTCCGATTCGAGATTCCGTATGACCGCCTGTGCGTTCGGGATCCCGAACGGAAAAAAGCCGCTCCGAACGCACGTCTTCCATAGATTTTGTACGAGTCGCAACACACATACGTAAATTCCGTACGGAATGCGCTCAGTGTTCGTCGCACGACCGAAGGTAGTAGGTGTATTTATGTACGTTTTTACACTTAATCTTGTAGGTGTATAGCTTTTCGTAACCTTTCATCTTATTTTATTTAATACGAGTAATTCGTCGAAAAAAATTACATACATAAATATTTAAAAAATATCTCTGGATAGATAGATCTTTTTACATAGTATTGACTATATTGCAAGCTTAGGGTGATAAGGGGATGCACCTAGTAAGAATGATACAGCAACAATGGAATCGCAATTAGAAAATCATCGTCATTATTCGCTGGTAGAATGTCTAGACTCAATGGCTAACGTCTCTCAACTGACCCTTGTTATTCCGAACGGAAAAAAACGTGTGTGTGTGTGATGTATTCATGGAATTCCGATTCGGGATTCCGAAACGAAATCACGAAACGGAATTCCGTATGTATGTGGCCGGCCTTATACTACAAGTGAATTAGTGAACTGACATCTATCTAGCGATATCCGAATCTACATGGTGCGGTGCGCCGAGTTCAATCGGTAACTCGAGTGCAAGCGGACTCGAGTAAAATTTATTTTCACTCGGAGTACCGAGTTACACCAATTCACTCGATGGAACCGATTGAAAACAGAGTTCGAGTTGTATCACTAGTGTAAGAATAATGTTTGTAGTTACTGGTTAATGGTGGTTATATTCTTTTCTGCCGACTTCCAAAAAGGAGACGGTACTCAATTCGACTGTATGTTTTTTTTATGTGTGTTACCTCATAACTTCGTACTGGGTGAACCGATTTCGATGATTCTTTTTTTATATGAAAGCTGATAGTTCTCGTGTGGTCCCATATGAATTTGATCAAGGTCAGACCAATGGTTATTGAGTTATTCCTAAATAACTTATATTGAAGTCGCTTATATTGAAGTCGGCTGTACAAAATTTTAAATTTTAAATTATTTGGTAGCAAAAACAAAGTTTATAGTTTATACTTGTTTGTTTATATTACAAGACAATAGAATATCGTCTCATCGATGCACAAGTGTATGGACTATGGACACATGGATATACATTATATTCGTATCATAATATGGATAATATCATGCAGGTTAGCCAAATATTAATATTCCAAATTATGTATTTCTCTTCTACATATGTATGTAATATATGAGTTTAATTTTCCACCTGGAATTTTAGAAAATCTACAATTTGTGTTGAATAACCTAAAACAAGTGACAATGTATTAAAGTTTTATGTTATTAGTAAAATCTAAATTAAATATTAGATAGAATAAATACACAAAACAAGTTTTGTATGTTAAAGGAAAATTAGAATCTATGGGTCGATTTAAGGAAGCTTCTATATTTGATGTAGCTTCATAGGCTTTGAGGAGCGATTCATTTAACTGCCTTTAGGTACAAATGCCTACCTTATGTATTCAGTAAGTTGCTCCATATAACTTGACAATACCAAATGGCTTATTTCGTAGTATAGTAGATAGATATAAGGTACATATATTTATGTGTAAAAAAAGTAGTAAATACTTGTACCAGAAGCAAATATACAGTTTATATAAATATTGTGACTTAGTAAAGCCATTTTATTTGTGTGATGGGTGATATCCTTAAAATTGCTATTGAATTTACAAAAACACCTAGGACTGTTACGGTGCGTACACATTATATAACATAACATATAACATGTTAATGATTTCTTATATTTACGCGAACACTACACATTTAAATAAAACTAATTTTACGGATTTTATCGCGTATATTAACTTATTTTACTTTCCCGACGTTTCAAGCACTTTACAGCACCCATGGTCTATAGTGAGCCAAATCGATTCACCAACTTACAGATTGGCTCAACACTTAGCGAATATACTCTCACCGCTCAAGGGACATACAAGAGCACACACAAAGGATTCCTACCATTCTGTCAGCGAGATTAAAGACCTACATCTGGCAGACAATGAAACTATGGTGAGTTTTGATGTGCAGTCTCTGTTCACATGCCTACCTGTTGAAGACTGCATCTCGATTGTTACTAGAAGGCTAGAGGAAAATAACATGCCCGTAGAATATGCAGTATTACTCAGACACTGCCTTACATCTGGCTACCTATTGTGGAAGGAGGAGTTCTACAAGCAAGTAGATGGTGTGGCGATGGGCTCACCTGTATCTCCCATTGTTGCCGATATATTCATGGAGGACTTTGAGGAGAAAGCCCTGCTTACTTCTCCCATAAAGCCAAGATTCTACAAGCGGTACGTAGACGACACTTTCACAATTCTACCTTTAGATAAAGTAACTGCATTTTTAGACCATCTTAACTCCTTAAATTCTAAAATTCAGTTCACAATGGAGTTAGAGGCAAACAATTCTTTAGCTTTTCTAGATGTGTTAGTAATTCGGAATCCTGATAACACCTTGAGCCACACTGTGTATAGAAAAAAGACCAATCATCATCATCATCATTACAACCCTTCACAAGTCCACTGCTGAACATAGGCCTCCCCCAAAGAATGCCACAAAACACGGTCCTGAGCCACCTGCATCCATCGACTTCCTGCATGTCTTACCAGGTCGTCACTCCATCTCGTGGGGGGACGCCCTACACTTCGCCTACAGGTACGAGGCTGCCACTCGAGAACCTTTCTTCCCCATCGGTTGTCGGTTCTTCGAGCTATATGGCCGGCCCACTGCCACTTCAGCTTACTAATCCGTTGGGCTATGTCGGTCACTCTGGTTCTACTGCGGATATCCTCATTCCTAAGTTTATCACGCAGAGAAACTCCGAGCATAGCCCTCTCCATAGCTCGCTGAGCGACCTTGAGCTTCCTCATACGGCCAGCAGTGAAGGACCACGTCTCAGTTCCGTAAGTCATCACTGGCAACACGCACTGGTTGTACAATTT